GAGACGACTAGGCTACTTAGCTATTAAACTTCTTGGTTGCTGATATTAACATACATACATGATATAAGAGTAGACATGATATAAAAATAGACGCATACAATTATTATGTATAAATTGTACACATGTGCGCGTATATAAACATACTTAAATTTGTAAAAAATGGGTGCACGCTAGTTTCCAAGCGTCATTGCCATGAGTTGTCCTAAGCCACCAAATGCTTTTCTATCTGGCTATGGACCACAGCACATCCATTGTCGTAGCGCCTTATATTATTTACGCAAATATTTTACGTTACGCAATACGTAAGCTAATTCTATGGCAACATACAACAAAAACGTAATGTAATGTCTTACATTATATCACATTGCGTTATCTTTCTATAGAATTGGCTTACATGTCGCATAACACAAAATAGCATAAGGGGCTACTATAATATACATATATAGGATGTTTAAAAAGTTCCAGTACAGCCGGGTAACTTTTGAAATATTAATTATCATAGAAAACTTCTTTGACAAAAGTTGCAGGAAATAAAAAAGGGTATTCAATGGTGACCTTTGACCTTAAGATAACTTTCAAGATCAAATAAAGCTCAACCCATTTTTGCAAATAGAAGTACATGTTTTTGATAGCGGAAATCGAAAGATCATAAAAAATTACGTCCAGATATGTATTTAGTCATGTTGACTTTTAATCTCTAGAGGTCATTTCAAGGTCATTGAACTTATACTTCCATAAGTTATGGTACGGTCCGATAAATCTGGAAATATTGGTTGTCGTAAGAAACTTCTTAGACAAAAGTTGCAGGCAATAAAAAAAGGTATTCAAAGGTGACCTTGACCTTTGACCTTCAGGTGACCTTCAAAGTCAAATGAAGGTCAACCCCGTTTTTTCAAATAGAAGCATATATTTTTGTCAGTTTGGGGGCGTTAATTACGAATCTGATGTCAAAATGAAGTTTCAACTCCATCCTACCCCGAAATTCGAATAATTTTTTTCGCTGTTTCAATCTCCGCTGACAAAAACACATGATTCGATTTGAAAAAACAGGGTTAACCTTCATTTGACCTTGAAGGCCACCTCAAAGGTCAAAGGTTAAGATCACCTTTGAATACCTTTTTTTATTCCTTGCTTTTATCTAACTTTTATCTAACAAAGAAGTTTCCTACGACAAATAATATTTCCAGATTTATCCAGCCGTACCGTAACTTATGGAAGTGTAAGATTTAATGACCTTGAAATTACCTCTAGAGCTCAAAATTGAACATGACTAAGGACATATCTGGACATATCTGGTAATTTTTTACGCTCTTTCGATTTCCGCTATCAAAACCACATGCTTTTATTTGAAAAAACGAGATTGACCTTTATATGACCTTGAAGGTTACCTCAAAGTCAAACGTCAAGGTCACTATTGAATACCTTTTCTTATTCCCTGCAACATACAGGGTATCCCATTTTAAGTGTCCACCTCAATTTTCTCTTACTTTTGATTTTATAGAAAAATGGTTCAGACACGTTTTGTATGGTTTCGAGGGGACCATAAGATGGTAACATTGATTTGACCTTGAAGAGTCATTTGAAGGTCATGTGAAGGTTACCTCAACTTTCTTTGGATGGCACCCCCTATTTTTTATTACATATTCTTGTAGCTGACCTCGAGAGCTTACCAAAATACTATAATCAAATGTTTTTCGGTGAAGTACTTTTCGAGTTATAAAGCTCCAAATTTACAAAATTTTGATAAAAATACAAACTATTTCGTAAAACATTCACTTTCCGATAGTCTTATCTTACATGATCCAACCAGTCAAGCCAAGATCCTAGCATGATCCAACTAGTCAAGGCAAGATCCGAGCATGATCCAGCCAGTCAAGGCAAGATCCGAGCATGATCCAGCCAGTCAAGACGAGATCCTGTATTGCCTGATAATCAATGAACTGTAACAATTGTGAAAGTGCAATTGTCAATTGTTTTAATGAAACAAATATCAAGAGGCTTGTTTCAAATTTCTTACTTGGGCAACTGTCGGTATTTTGGCGAAGTCTCAGACAGACGCATATTATTATCCATTGACTTTTTTTTGATAAGACAGGAATTTTTGGCTATTGGCGCTTTTTTCTTTAGAATTATGACTGCTTATCCACCAACTGAAATTGTGGACATGATTCGCATTTTGGATGAGGCCGGGAATAATTACTCGGCAGCAGAAAGGCTTTATGCTGAAAGATTTCCAGACAGACGCCATCCTGATAGGAAAGTAATAAAAAGACTCTGCGACAGAGCTGAACAGGGTTTTCTTAGAAGAAACCGGCGAAAATCGGGCCCTGATGAAGTTACATCATTGACTGTTATAGGTGCCGTTGCTTTGAATCCTCAAATCTCTACGAGACAAATTGAGAGGCAATACGGTATATCTAAATCAACAGCCAATCATGTGCTCAAGCTCAACAAGTTTCACCCATATCACATTCATCTAACTCAGCAATTGGAAGAGTGGGACTACCAACGCCGTGTACGTTTTTGTAACTGAGCTCGAGATCAAATACAACAAAATCCTCGGTTCATTGCTGATACGCTTTTTTCTGATGAAGCCACGTTTTGTAATAGTTTTGTAATAGAGGAGGCGTTAATAGACATAATTGCCATTATTATTCAGATGCTAATCCACATTGGCAGAGAAGCCAAGAGTTCCAACGGCAGTGGTCCATTAACGTTTGGGCAGGCATCCTGGGAGATGTTATTGTTGGTCCATATTTTTTTGAAGAAAATCTGAATGCGGCAATCTATCTAAGATTTCTTCAAGATGACCTGCCCAAACTCTTGAGACATGTCGACAATGATTTACTCAGACGAATGTGGTTCCAACAAGATGGAGCACCGGCTCATAGATCTCGAGCTGTTACACAATATTTAAACAATAGATTCCCGAATAGGTGGATTGGTATGGGCAGCTGAGTTCAAGAATGTCCCCCAAGATCACCCGACTTGACACCCCTAGATTTTTATTTCTGGGGCTACATTAGAGATATAGTTTATTCGCAAAAGCCTACAACTGTTGAAAATATGAAAAACCGGATCAGACAGGCTTGCAGAAATATTAATGTAGGTATTCTTGAAAAAGTTAGGGACGACTTTCACCATAGACTAGAGCTATGCATACAAGTAAATGGCCAAGTTTTTGAACACTTTAGGTAATTGTACACAAAAGAAGATCTTGCCTTGACTGGTTGGATCATGCTCGGATCTTGCCTTGACTGGCTGGATCATGCTCGGATCTTGCCTTGACTGGCTGGATCATGCTCGGATCTTGCCTTGACTGGCTGGATCATGCTCGGATCTTGTCTTGACTGGCTGGATCATGCTCGGATCTTGCCTTGACTGTCTGGATCATGCTCGGATCTTGCCTTGACTGGTTGGATCATGCTCAGATCTTGCCTTGATTGGTTGCATCATGTAAGATAAGACTATCGGAAAGTGAATGTTTTACGAAATATTTTGTATTTTTATCAAAATTTTGTAAATTTGGAGCTTTATAACTCGCAAAGTACTTCACCAAAAAACATTTGATTATAGTGTTTTGGGAAGCTCTCGAGGTCAGCTACAAGAATATGTAATAAAAAATAGGGGGTGCCATCCAAAAAAGGTTGAGGTAACCTTCACATGACCTTCAAATGACTCTTCAAGGTCAAATCAATGGTACCATCTTATGGCCCCCTCGAAACCATACAAAACGTGTCTGAACCATTTTTCTATAAAAGCAGAAATAAGAGAGATATTTGGGGTAGGCACTTAAAATGGGACACCCTGTATAATATATATTGTGGAGTAGCTAAAAATAAGAGACACGTATTTTCTTATACGTGCCCAATTCCATATTTTAGGGGTTAAAATCACCCTTACAAGGTATATCGGTATACCTGGTTTTCAGAGAGTGTATTTTAAAAACTATAAGATACAAAAAACTGTTTCAGATAAAAGTTGTATGGTTTTTGACGCTCCTTACAACTGTGTACTTAGATTTCTTAAAAATATTATATTTTTTATATCCCCCTCCTACCATTTTTATTTTTGCAAATTGAAAATTTTTGTAATGACAAGAATTGTAGCATTTTTTAAGCTGAATTCAACCATATATAGCTTAATTTTGTTAAGTGAAGTTATGATCAGTTTTTTGAAGTTAGGGACGATAAAGCTAGCAATTGTCCAATTCTGACCTCGGATTCGGATTCAGTGGATCAAAATACATAATATACTTGTCCGGTTTTAGGCACCGACCACTTTTTCTTGGGGGGCTGTGTTATTATTGATTATACTTGCTGGTTCGAAACTTTTGTTATCCTAATCACAGATATAAATATTAGGTGTTCCGGTTAGTTTTGAAGGATTTTTTTGCAAAAGAAATTCTTTTGAGAGATGTTTATTTTTGAGAGACGTTAAATTATATTTTATTTAAAATATTTTTCATCGATAGCTATAAGCTTTTCCCACTTTTCGGGCAACAAGTGAATTCCGCGATGAAAGAAATATTCGTTCTTCGAAGTAATTTACTCATCGAGCCATTTTTGTATTATTTCATATAATTTTAAATGCTGATCAGCAAGGCTGTGCTGGATAAATCGAACTAAGTGGTAATCGGAAGGAGCATAGTCAGGTAAATATGCGGCGTATAGAACCTCCATGATAGAACCTCTCACTGAAGTGTCGATAATGTATCTTTAACTGTTTTTGCAACATGCGGTCGAGCATTGTCGTGCAACAAAATTATTTTGCATTTTCTTTGAGCTATTACTGGATCTTTTTGGTTTAAGGCTTCTGTTTAAGGTCATTTTGACCAGAACTCCGCGTTGACAGTGGAGCCGCGATATAAGCGGCAGGAATGAGAACCTTCTACTGCATATTCACCGCTTGGTAAATGCGAGTAGGTTCTGTTGCATGTTACGAGTGCGTGCTACGATAAACAAAAACAGATAGCGAATCTATGTCTGTCTTTGTCTTACCGCCGGATAGCTGACAATCGATGCGGCTGATACAAGCCAGCGACAATCTTATCTCTCACGATCTATTTCATATGTGCCCTCCTTTTCACGTGATGCCTTAGAACCCACAAATATATGTGTATTGCTGCGCCCGTGTCTTTGGGGGACATGTTATCCCCACGCTCCTGGGAGTGGACTGCAAAGGAATCGAGTAGAGATTGTTTGATAGCTGTTGTTGTCAAGGAGGTTGTTTAATAAATAAAAAGGAAAGAAGAAGAGATGAGAGAAAGTCGCCCTGGTCTTGTCACGACGAACGGACGTATTAAAATAAAGCTTCTTTCGTTTTGTTAATTCCGTGTTATTTTTCTTACGCAAGGGCGCAACAGTATTATTGTAGCCCTTTATGCTATCCTGTGTTATGTGACATGTAAGCCAATTCTACAGAAAGGTAACGTAATATAATGTGAGACATTATATTACGTTTTTGTTGTATGTTGCCATAAAATTAGCTTACGTGTCGCGTGACACAAAATATTCGCGTAAATAGTATCTTTTTGAAAAATAAGGTAAAGAAATGACGCCAAGTACACGCGCTAGATGAAAATGTTTATTTGTTAAATAAAAAAGTTAAAACTTTAATAAAGAAAACATTATAAAAAGTAATATAGTACAAAAATCTGTTTAAATCAATTTCTTCTAAAAAAAGTTGTGATATCAAAAAGTTGCGCCAAAATAAAAATGAAAATTTGTACATTATTTATATCATATTTAACATTCAAAATGTTATATCCAATAAAATATTGACTTAAACAAAACTACGACATTCAATAAAATACAGATACTAATAAAATATGAATTTATATATCAAGCATTGATACTAAAAATAGAAAAACATCGTTATATAAAATAGTCTTGTTTTAAAAACCAAAAGACTCAAAGATTTAAAAATTTGAAGCATTGATAGCAAATTGATTGAAGCAAATTAAAGCATTGAATCTAATTAGTTTGGCAATATAGTTGGGTAAAAATGAGAAATATTTAATCACAAATATATTGTAGAAGAAGAATTCTTTTTAAATCTACTCTTCTTGAAACAGTAATTATATCAGAAAGTTGCGTCAAAACTAAAATTTAATTTGAACATTACGGCTTAATATTAAAATGGAAGTCATGAAAACTTATATATGACTATTTAATATATTAAAAGTGAAAAAGCTATTTACAAGATATTGCTTCCAAAACCAAAAAATCTTAAAGCATTGCACGTAATAAGTGTCTTAAGGAAAAAAAAGGGAAGGAATAATATAATAAAAAAAATTATTAATATAAAGAAATGTCCGTGTTTGTGTGAGTTATTAAAAATTTAAAAAGTATTTTATGCAAAGAACTTGGCGCTGATAGACTGAATAATATCCTAGGTTGTCGAAAAAATAAATCAATTTAATTAATTTAATAATATTGAACAATAATTCATAATAAATATACAGGGCTTGCCAAAAGTTCCGGAACGACAAATTATTTCAAAAAATAATGATTGTTTAAAACAATGTTTGGAACAAAAGCTGTAGGGCTTAAAAAAGTTATCAGATATTAATAATTGCTTGTCCTTGGAATGACCTTGAGAAACGTTGTCAAGGTCGATATAAAATTCTCAAATGGAAACTCTAATTTTTTTTACACCGTCTTTCTTCACTAATTAATTTGAACAAACTTTATCTGAAACACTTTTTTATCTGCCTAATATTTTTTAAGATATTTAAGAATAACTTGGTAACTTTTTCAATATTTAACTTACGATATCTCGCTAACTGTGTATCGGGATAAAAAAATAGTACTAGACTTTTCTATTCTATTTAATCTCAAGAATATATTGATACAATAATGCTCTATTTTTTGTTAATTTATCAATTCTTCGAAATTCCAAAATCATCAAATTAACAAAAGTCAGGGCGCTATTGTAACAATATATTCTTGAGGCCAAGTAGAATAAAAAGTTATCTTGTACTATTTTTTTATCCCGACAAACAGTTAGCGGGATATCGTCAGTTAAATATTAAAAAAGTTACCAAGTTATCCTTAAATATTTCAAAAAATATTAGGTGAATAAAAAAATGTTTCAGACAAAAGTTATTCAAATTAATTGGTGGAAAAAGGCGGTGTAATAAAAAATTGGAGTTTCCATTTAAGATTTTTATGTCGACCTTGATAACGTTTCTCAAGGTCATTTCAAAGTCAAACAATAATCAACATCTGACAGCTTTTTCAAGCCCTACAACTTTTGTTTCACACATTGTTTTAAATAATCATTATCTTTTGAAATAATTAGTCGTTCCAAAATTTTTGGCAGACCCTATATAACAAATATTTCTTACAAACTAAACTTATGTATACTAACTTATAATCTAACACCCATTCGATATGCTTATTTCTTTATGCACATCTACACACACACACACGCACACTCACATCCACACATACCCACACCCACACCCACACCCACACACCACACCCACACCCACACACACACATGCGCGCGCACGCACACGCACAATATTAACTCACACGAACACACACATTTCTTTGTATTTATAATTTTTTTATTACATTGTTCCTTCACTTTTTTTCCTTATGATAGTTATTATTATATTCGGTTTAGCAGCACCAAGTTTTTTGCATTAAATATTTTTTAAATTTCTAATAACTCCCACAAACACGGACATTTCTTTATATTAATATTTTTTTTTATTACATTGTTCCTTCCCTTTTCTTTCCTTAAAACAGTTATTACGTGCAATGTTTTAAGATTTTTTGGTTTTGGAAGCAATATCTTGTAGATAGCTTTCTCACTTTTAATATATTAAATAGTTATATATAAGTTTTCATGACTTCCATTTTTAATATTAAGCCGTAATGTACAAATTAAATTTTAATTTTAACACAACTTTCTGATATAATTACTCAAGAAGAATTACTCAATTGCAACAAGAGTAGATTTAAAACGAATTCTTCTTCTACAATATACTTGTGATTTAAATATTTCTCATTTTTACCCAACTATATTTCCAAACTAATTAGATTCAATGTTTTAATGTTTCAAATTTTTAAATCCTTGAGTCTTTTGGTTTCTAAAACAAGACTATTTTATACAACGACGTTTTTCTATTTATATCCCGTGAGGAGAACTTGAAACCCCTATCGGGCGCGTCCCCGGGTGACGGACTGGGGAAAGCTCGCCGGTGTAAACCAGAGAGTAGGAGGGAAATAAAATACCTCTCGCGGACCAACAAGACAAAACATGCAATGCACAAAACAAATGGACTGAATACCCCAGGTGGTACTCCAGTTGAGAAGCTGGGCAATCCACCCTCGAAAGAAGCTGGCCCTAAGGATTCTGGGAAGGGCCATACACTGTGTGAGTTGTATAGTAACAATCGGAATGATGTGCCACCAATAGAGATACACCAGATAAAAACACAAAGCGAACATAAGTTATACGATGCGTGGAAGATGGAGAAAGACAACAATACAAAGCTAGCGTATGATATAGCAAATCTACAACAATTGCTAGATATGCAAAGGGAACTGAATACCCTCTTAAACAAAAATAACAATTATGAAACCAAACAAGAAGAAAATAAGGTTGAATATTGTACGGATGAGGAGGAGTTAATTAAAGAAACAGAGTGGATAATTAAAGGTAGGAAAAAAAAACGGAAAATAACTACGTCATCAGAAAGTTCACTACAAACTCAATCTCAACATAAAATCCAAGACATGATAAATAAACCACAGAGCAAGCAAAGAGAAAATAAAAAACCTCCCCCAATTATAGTCAGTCAAATTGGGAATTACGATGCTTTGTATAGTGATCTGGAAGATAAAAAAATAGTATTTAAGGCCACTATGCTGAATAATGAATAGGTTAAAGTCAATGTAGAGGACCCAGAAGAATATAGAAAGCTGACTAAAATTCTTAATGACAACACTTACCAATGGCATGCATACCTATGAAAATAAACAGACAAGGCCCATCAAAGTAGTTGCAAAAAAACTGCACTACTCATGTAAGCCGGAGATGGTAATTGAAGATATTAGAAATAAAGGTCTGGAGATAATAGAAGCAGTAAATATATTGAGTATAAGAGACAAAACACCCTTATCACTATTCATGCTTACGTTTCAAAACAGCGAAAATACTAAAAAAATCTATGAAATTAAGGAAATTCTTGGTATGAAGGTGGAAATTGAACCATTAAAGAAATCAAAATTGATTCCGCAATGCAAAAAATGTCAAACGTTTGGACATACCCAGCACTTTTGCATTAGAGAACCAAGTGTGTTAAGTGTGCTGGAAAGCATTTAAGCAAAGAGTGTAAGAAACTAAAGCAAGAGCAACCTAAATGTGCTAACTGTGGTGAAAACCACCCAGCTAACTATAGGGGTTGTGAGGTGGCTAAAAAGCTGCAGATTGTAAGAAATGAGGTAATAAGGAAAAAAACAAAGAAGCAAATAAGATCGGCCTATATAATATAAGAGAAAACCTTTAGCCAAGCTGTCCTGGGAAATAAAATCATGGAAAATGAAACGCAGAATAAAAACAAAATACAAGACGAAAACAATACCAATATAATACTGGGGAAACTAATTGAAAAGCTGGACAAACAGGAAGAAGAGTTTAATGTGCAAGGAAAACTATTAAACGGTATACTAGAAAGACTTTCAAAACTAGAAGGGAAAAGCAACAGAGCAGAAATTCCAAAAAAAAAAAAGAAGATAACCAACAAGCAAGATCTGAAAATAGTAACATGGAATGCTAATGGCATTAGACCCCAAGAGGACCACCAAGAAGAATTACAAGTTTTCTTAGATACCCAAAATATAGATATATGTCTTATATCTGAGACCCATCTCGTCAAACAAGGCTACATTAAATTTAAAGGATATAAGGTTTACAGTACAAAGCATCCCCAAAACATGGCTAGAGGAGGCAGTGCAGTCATAATTAAGGAAAATATAAAGCACAATGAAGAAAAACACTATGAACTAGATATACTCCAAGCGACTGTAGTTAATATTAAAATTGGTGGGCACAAAATAGCAATTTGTACAGTATACTTCCCACCTAGAAGCAATCTCAAGAAAGAGCAGTACCTAAACTTCCTACGAAACAAGTTTATAATAGGAGGAGACTTCAAT